GAGCCAGCACTTAGTCCATGGTGATAGACACCTGATGATGCAGCCTCCTCCTACCTTCCCCAGAAAAAAAGATTAGGTGAGGCTGGCAAAAAGAACATTCTTGGCTGGCAAAACACTTTCATTGGCCACCAAAGGCCCCCGTCCCTCCAGCCCAAGAAAAGGACAGCGCTCCCTCATCCACACGGGCTCTGGGCCCTGTGCCCCATGCCCTGGAGTGAGCCTCAGCCCTGCCCTGCGATCATAGTCTGGGTGCATTGTGGGGTGTGGGTTTCCCCCAACGTCCAGACCCTTGAGTCCTCGGGAGCAAGGACTGGCCTCTCTGGTTCCCCTTCACACAGCAGGTGCTGAATCAGTGCCCAGGAACTGAGGTGTCCCGTGAGGCAGCAGAGGCTGAGCTGGAGAAGGCTCCCCTGAGACCTGCACAGATTCGGGCGTGATCATCCCCGAGGCACACTGAAGGAAGCCAGGCTGCAGTGGACACAACTCCAGGCTCACACTGCAGTGGCCCGGACGCTCCTTCATGGGGCCCTGGAGGGGGTCTATGCTCTTCGCCCTGACCTTTTGGCAGGTCCTGGCTTGCCCAGGCTCAGCCTCACCCCTAACCAGGTGTCATGAGGCACCTGCTCAGCAGAGCCTATTGCGGTCCAGACACTGCAGTTGGTGATGATGAGACCAACACCGACGGCCCTAGGGCTGACCTCAAGATGCTTTCCTACCCAAGGACTGCAGCAGAGGGACACCCTTCCCCACCCCCACACACGAGCTCCAGTCCCCTGATGGGAGAGAAGGGGGAGCAGGCCCTGCAGTGACCTGCTGGCTGTCTCTTATCCACCGACGTGGCCAAAGGTGGCCATGTTATCTCCCACGGCGCGCCCTCTCCTCCGTATCAGGACGCAGTAGACATCCAGGTGCCTGTACAATAGACGTTTCTGGAGATAGCAGGCCCATCACGGGCTCTTGGGAAAGATTCTGTGATAACAGGCCCTGGGAACCGAGATGCCCTTAGTTTAGCCACACGGCATCCAGGGGACACCGCCCCTCTGGCCTTTGGGCCAAGTCAGCAGCAGCCACTCCCACCCCACCCACCACCTTCCTGCGCCCTGCAGCCTCCCCTCCCTGCCCACCAGGGTGACCGGACACTGGCCGGAGCCAGGGGAGGGGCAGGCACTCTTCACAGTTTCCCCAGGAAACCCTGGACCCTGCCCCCAGCCTGGCCTCCAGACAGTCACACCCAGTCTCCCCCTGCCCACCGGAGCTCAGCCTCTGAGACAACACGGGACCCTGTTTACATCAACGCACCTAAAAATAACCTTCTGGAAAATTCCAGGCCTGAGTCCTGAGTGTCCCCAGAGTCCACGGCCAGTGGCTGAGGGCCAAGAAGATAGAGACAAAGAGGATTTATACCCCAGCACTGAGGGGACAGTGACAAGGCAGCCTCTCTGCAGGTCCCCACAGGAAACGAAACCCACAGCTCAGCTCCATGGAGCGGGGCTGCCCGTGAGCCGGGGCTGTCTCTGTGGAGCGGGGGCTGTCTCTGTAGAGCGGGGGCTGTCTCTGTGGAGCGGGGGCTGTCTCTGTGGAGCGGGGGCTGTCCTCTGTAGAGCCGGGGCTGTCTCTGTGGAGCGGGAAGTGTCTCTGTGGAGCGGGGGGCTGTCTCTGTTAGAGCCGGGGCTGTCTCTGTGGAGCTGGGGACTGTCTCTGTGGAGCGGGGGCTGTCCTCTGTAGAGTCGGGGGCTGTCTCTGTAGAGCCGGGCTGTCTCTGTAGAGCCGGGGCTGTCTCTGTAGAGCGGGGGCTGTCTCTGTGGAGCGGGAAGTGTCTCTGTAGAGCGGGGGCTGTCTCTGTGGAGCGGGAAGTGTCTCGGTGGAGCGGGAAGTGTCTCTGTGGAGCGGGGGCTGTCTCTGTGGAAGCGGGAAGTGTCTCTGTGGAGCGGTGGCTGTCTCTGTGAGCGGGGACTGTCTCGGTGGAGCGGGGGCTGTCTCTGTGGAGCGGGGGCTGTCTCTGTGGAGCGGGAAGTGTCTCTGTGGATCGGGGGCTGTCTCTGTGGAGCGGGAAGTGTCTCTGTGGAGCGGAAGTGTCTCTGTGGAGCGGGGGCTGTCTCTGTGGAGCGGGGGCTGTCTCTGTGGAGCGGGAGCTGTCTCTGTGGAGCGGGGACTGTCTCTGTGGAGCGGGGGCTGTCTCTGTGGAGCGGGAAGTGTCTCTGTGGAGCGGGGGCTGTCTCTGTGGAGCGGGAAGTGTCTCTGTGGAGCGGGGGCTGTCTCTGTGGAGCGGGAAGTGTCTCTGTGAGCGGGGCTGTCTCTGTGGAGCGGGAAGTGTCTCTGTGGAGCGGGGGCTGTCTCTGTGGAGCGGGGGCTGTCTCTGTGGAGCGGGGACTGTCTCTGTGGAGCGGGGGCTGTCTCTGTGGAGCGGGAAGTGTCTCTGTGGAGCGGGGCTGTCTCTGTGGAGCGGGAAGTGTCTCTGTGGAGCGGGGGGCTGTCTCTGTGGAGCGGGGACTGTCTCTGTGGAGCGGGGGCTGTCTCTGTTGGAGCGGGGCTGTCTCTGTGGAGCGGGAAGTGTCTCTGTGGAGCGGGGGCTGTCTCTGTGGAGCGGGGACTGTCTCTGTGGAGCGGGGGCTGTCTCTGTGGAGCGGGGGCTGTCTCTGTGGAGCGGGGACTGTCTCTGTGGAGCGGGGGCTGTCTCTGTGGAGCGGGGGCTGTCTCTGTGGAGCGGGAAGTGTCTCTGTGGAGCGGGGGCTGTCTCTGTGGAGCGGGAAAGTGTCTCTGTGGAGCGGGGGCTGTCTCTGTGGAGCGGGGACTGTCTCTGTGGAGCGGGGGCTGTCTCTGTGGAGCGGGGACTGTCTCTGTGGAGCGGGGGCTGTCTCTGTGGAGCGGGGGCTGTCTCTGTGGAGCGGGAAGTGTCTCTGTGGAGCGGGGGCTGTCTCTGTGGAGCGGGGGCTGTCTCTGTGGAGCGGGGGCTGTCTCTGTGGAGCGGGGCTGTCTCTGTGGAGCGGGGCTGTCTCTGTGGAGCGGGAAGTGTCTCTGTGAGCGGGGGCTGTCTCTGTGGAGCGGGGACTGTCTCTGTGGAGCGGGGGCTGTCTCTGTGGAGCGGGGACTGTCTCTGTGGAGCGGGGGCTGTCTCTGTGGAGCGGGGACTGTCTCTGTGGAGCGGGGGCTGTCTCTGTGGAGCCGGGGCTGTCTCTGTGGAGCGGGGACTGTCTCTGTGGAGCGGGGGCTGTCTCTGTGGAGCGGGAAGTGTCTCTGTGGAGCGGGGGCTGTCTCTGTGGAGCGGGGACTGTCTCTGTGGAGCGGGGGCTGTCTCTGTGGAGCGGGGACTGTCTCTGTGGAGCGGGGGCTGTCTCTGTGGAGCGGGGACTGTCTCTGTGGAGCGGGGGCTGTCTCTGTGGAGCGGGGGCTGTCTCTGTAGAGCCGGGGCTGTCTCTGTGGAGCGGGGGCTGTCTCTGTAGAGCCGGGGCTGTCTCTGTGGAGCGGGGACTGTCTCTGTAGAGCGGGGGCTGTCTCTGTGGAGCCGGGGCTGTCTCTGTAGAGCGGGGGCTGTCTCTGTGGAGCGGGGACTGTCTCTGTAGAGCGGGGGCTGTCTCTGTGGAGCAGGGGCTGTCTCTGTAGAGCCGGGGCTGTCTCTGTGGAGCGGGGACTGTCTCTGTGGAGCGGGAGCTGTCTCTGTAGAGCGGGGGCTCTCTGTGACACTGGGACTCACAAGGCGGTGGCGCCAGGCAGGGGACCCCGGAGAGCCCAATTCAGTAGAAGCTGTGAGAGGATGGGTCCTGAGACCCCAGCCCAAAGCAGGCAGTCAGGAACTAAGTGACATAGGTACGCTGGGGGCTACAGGGCAGAGGGAGGAGAGTGTCTCTGAGGCTCCCTTGCCATCCTTCAATGCCAAGTCAAGCAAAGGTGGTTTTCTGGAGCAGGCACTGATCCCCCTCATGACCCCAACTCCCGACCCAGCGGCCTCTCCCGGGGGCTGAGCAGCTCTGAGCAGGGGTGGAACCATGTGGCAGGCTGGGGCCGACTCCAGGGAGGTGGTGGGGGAGGCACCCACCCAGGCCCCACTGCCTGGGAAAAAGGCTGCTGCATGTATGGCAAGCTGATCCCAGGACCCTGGGCAGGGGAGGGGGACATCGTGTATGCCTCTCCCTCCTTCTTACCACGGGCTCCTTGGGGGCTCCTGGCCTTGGGTGAGCAGGGGGGACCCAAGGCACCTCAGAGGGAAGCTTCCTGGGCAGACAGACAGTGTAGGCCATGGCTCCCCGGCAGAGGTGGGGGAGGGAAGGGGAAGGGAGGGCTGCCCTGCTGGGCCCACGTGTGTCCTCTGCAGCAGGACAGCCTAGCCTGCCCCTGGCTGTGCTGAGCCTTGCGGCTCTCCTCTCCGAGACACTGTGATGACAGGCAGAGGCGGCAGGGGCACGGGGTGGCAGGGGCACAGGGGCGGCAGGGGCACAGAGGTGGCGGGCAGAGGCACTGTTGAAAAACCTGCCCGAGGCCCTGCCCTTGGCATCTCCTGGACCCACCCTCATCTTCCCCGAGGCTATTCGAGTGCTTTTCCGGGTGGTATGTCCTCCGTGGGAACTCGGGAAGGCTACTCATCTTGCCGGGCACAGCCCCACATGCCGGTGGGGAGGGGATGCTAATGATCGCCCCCAGCTCACAGGTACAAGAGGGAGGCCTGGGGCAGGGGTAGCCCAGGGTCTTGGCTGAGCCACTCAGAAAAGCAGCTCAGACCCTCTACCTGCTGGGCTCATCCTCCCCAGGTTCCCAACCACGGTCCAGCAAAGCATCCTCTTCCACGTGGTGGGCTCCCCACTGGGTTCCTCCAAGGTTCTGTGAGTGAAAGCCTGGTGGTCACCGACAGAGGTCTGCAAACAGCAGATTCCTACACAGACGGCCCTGCCTTAGGACGGCTCCACCGACGGGCTCCGACTTCACCATGGAGAGAATTCGACCAGAACTCAGCAGACATGGCGCCCTGCACAACCATTCCCTTGCAGGACAGAAGGCCACAAATCGCACAAGATTCTCAACACTTTATTATAAAATAGCTTTGTGAGCAGGGCACAGTGGTTCACGCCTGTGATCCCAGCACTTAAGAAAATCAAAGCAGGAGGGTGGCTTGAGCCTGGGCAACATGGCGAGACCCCATTTCTACAAAAAAAAAACAAAACACATTTTTTAATTAGCCAGGCATGGTGGCACATGCCTGTAGTCCCAGCTTCTTGGAGGCTGAGGCAGGAGGATTGTGTAAGCCCAGGAGTCTGAAGCTGCAGTGAGCTATAATCATACCTCTGCACTCCAGCCTGGCGGCAGATTGAGAGTCTGTCTCAAAAACCAAAAAAAAGCAGGCTTTGTGTGCACTGATTTTGCCCACCCATAGACTAATGGGAGCGTCCGAGCGCAGCTGAGGTCGGCTGGGCTGAGCTGGCCAGCATACTAAATGCACTTTGTATATATATATATATACAGTCTCACTCTGTCGCCCAGGCTGGAGCACAATGGCGCAATCTCGGCTCACGGCAACCTCTGCCTCCAGGGTTCAAGCCATTCTCGTGCCTCACCCTCCTGAGTAGCTGGGATTACAGGCATGCACCACCACCACACCCAGCTAATTTTTGTATTTTTATGAGAAATGGGGCTTCACCATATTGGCCAGGCTGGTCTCAAAGTCCTGAGCTCAAGCTATCTGCCCACCTGACCTCCCAAAGTGCCGGGATTACAGATGTGAGCCACGGCGCCCAGCCAGCAAATGCATGTTTGACGTAGGATATATTCCACTTGCAATGGTTTCCAGGGCCATCACCCCGTCATGAGCGCAGGAGCCTCTGTGCGTTCAGGACCCAGCCGAGCACCATGCTTGTTAAACTCCTGCTGCTCACAGAGGGCATCACCCAAAATCACGAAGAGGAACGGACACAGCCACACAACCCCCACCACTGCCCAGTGGCCCCCAAGCTGCACCAAGGCCAGAGCGCCCAGAGACCACAGCTCAGGCCTTGCTGCCTGGAGGCCCTGGAGGCCACGGCTGCGCCAAGTCTCTGCCTCTCTGTCTGGCCCCACCCATGCCCCGCTCTCCAGGGGTGAAGGCGCCTCACTGTTCTGGTGCACCTCAAAATCAGCCTCAGTACCTTGGAGTTTGTTGTCATGTCACAGGCCACTGGGGCCATTAAATAAATAGTGGAAGGATGCGGAGGTGGTGAGGATGAGGTTTGATTGCTCGGGAAGACACCCAGGAAAGGACGGGCACAGGGGACAAGGCAGGGAGAGCTGAGGGAGGGGCCGGGCTGGAGCTGCAGGCACCTCACACAGAGGCCTGGGGAGGGTAAGGGAAGGGAGAAAAGGCCTCAAGCTTGAAGAAGAAACCCCAAGGAATGAACAGCACCAGAAAGAGACAGTGGCACGTCAGCGGCCCCCAAAAATCACTGCCCATCCAAGCCGGCCCAGGGTTCACTGGGCTGCCCCCTATCTGGCTGGGTGAGAGCTTAGTGGACAATGAGGAGGGAGTCCCGGGCACTCCCCCAGCTCCCATCCTGGCTTAAACCCAGCAGCCACTGGGGTTGTTGACTGTCTTGCAGAAAGACCACTCACCGGGAACGGGGAGATGCGAATCCTAGGCTGGGGGGCTCAGTGGGCCCTGGGGAGAGCTCCAGGCTCCTCAAAGCTCCATCCATCTCTTCTGGTGAAAGGCTTCACCACACGCCGCCATCCTGCAGGCCCCACCTGAGCGCATGTCCCGCCGTCATGCTGCATCTGCTGCAAATGTTCTGTTTAATTAGTTACACCTGCTATCATGGGTGGCAAACAGAAGCCAAAATACCATCTCTAACACAGTCTAACCTTGCACACACAGACATACGTAACATATATAGAAGAAAACTCATGTGTAGACGGCCCCACGGGGTGTAAGATTTAAAATCAAATCTTATTTTCCACCTATGTTCGAATTTTCTGAAATAAGTATGAATTATTCTTCAATTATCTTCTAAATTACCTTTAAACTTTTTACATGGCTTGAGTTACTCTTCACATGGGAGGACAGAGGTGTGGTGAGTGTGGTTTCAGCTTGTGTCTGTCCTCCACCAAGGCTGGGGACCCTGTTTTTCTTCTCCTTGCAGGGAGAACCCCAACACAAAGCGGGGTTCTTCCGGGGACCCCATCATTACTAGGGAATTGTCTCTCGACCTGCAAGACAGAATCTAGAGCTCTGTACCGCTGCTGCTGAAGTACCCCTAGCATCCTCACCAGCTCTGAAAGGCCCCAGGATCATAGGTTCTTTTTATTTTTTAATTGTTTTGTTTTTCTGAGACAGAGCCTCACTCTGTCACCCAGGCTGGAGTGCAGTGGCACGATCTTGGCTCACCACAACCTCCGCCTCCTGGGCTCAAGTGATTCTCCTGCCTCAGCCTCCCAAGTAGCTGAGATTACAGGTGCCCACCACCATGCCCAGCCGCTTTTTGTATTTTTAGTAGAGATGGGGTTTCACCATGAAGACCAGGCTGGTCTGGAACTCCTGACCTCACATGATCCCTCCACCTCGGCCTCCCAAAGTGCTAGGATTACAGGTGTGAGCCACTGCCCCTGGCCTATTTTTTAATTGTTAATTATGGTGAACATGCATGAAACATAAAATGTACATTCACATTGTGGTTCAGTCATCACCACCATCCGTCTCCAGAACTCTACATCTTACGAAACTGAAATTCTGTCCCATCAAACAATAACCTCCCACTTCCCTGCCTGCAGCCCCTGGCAGCCTCCATTCCACTCTGTTTCTGTGAATGTGACTTCTCTAGGGACCGCACATAAATGAAATCACACACCATGTGTCTTTGTGTGATTGGCGTGTTTCACTCAGCATAATGTTCTCAAGGTTCATCCATGTTGTAGCCTATATGAGAATGTCCTTCCTTTTCGAGGCTGAATAATATTCCATTGTGTGGATGGACCATGTTTTATTTACCCTTCACCCAGGGGTAGACACTTGGGTTGTTTCCATACATATATATATATATATATATATATTTTTTTTTTTTTTTTTTTGAGACAAGAGTCTCACTCTGTCACCCAGGCTGGAGTGCAGTGACACAATCTTGGCTCACTGCAACCTCTGCCTCCAGGGTTAAAACCATTCTCCCACCTCAGCCTCCCTAGTAGCTGGGATTACAGGCACCTGCCACCACTCCTGGCTAATTTTCGTATTTTTAGTAAAAACGGGGTTCCACCATATTGGTCGGGCTGATCTCAAACTCCTGACCTCAGGTGATCCACCCGCCTTTGCCTTCCAAAGTGCTGGGATTACAGGATTGAGCCACTGCGCCCAGCCTGTTTCCACATTTTTGTTTTTGTGAATAAGCTGCTATGAACACCTGTGTGCAAGTATCTCTTTGAGACCCTGCTTCCAGTTCTCTTGAGCATATGCCCAGGAGGGGTACACATGAACACATAAACACAGGACACGCCAGGCTTGCCTGTAATCCCAACATTTCAAGAGGCCAAGGCAGGAGGATCACTTGAACCTAGAAGTATAAGACCAGCCTGAGCAACACAGGAAGACCCTGTCTCTAAAAATACATTTTAAAAATTAGCTGGGCCAGGTGTGCACAGCTGTGGGCTCAGCGAACAGGAAGTTGAGGCAGGAGGATGGCTTGAGCCCAGGAGGTCCAGGCTACACAGTGAGCCATGATCTCACCACTGTACTCCAGCCTGGGTGATAGAGCGAGATCCTGTCTCAAAAAATAAATGTAGAAAAACACAGGACACAGAACGGCCACAGAGGGGCATAGACTCACACCAGGAAATTCTAGGTGTGAGCATTGAAGCTTCCAGAGAGGAGGAAGGTAGTTCATCAAGCATACGGGTATTTTACTGGTTGCAGCGTGATCCCCCAAAACGATACAACCCTATCCTAGTTCCCGGAATGTGTGAATGTGGCCTTTTTTGGACAGAGGGCCTTCGCAGATGGAATTAAGAGAAGGATGTGGAGATAAGGTCATTCTGGGTTATTCGAGCAGACCCTACATCCAAGGGCTGGCATCCTTATAGGAGCCACGTAGGGACAGACACAGAAAGGCCTCGTGAGGATAGTGGCTGAGTGGGAGGGATGCAGCCACAAGCCAAGGACACCCAGGCCACCAGAACCCATGACGGCTGCTTGGAGCCACTCCTGTGGTCATTGGTTACATCAGCTAAGCCAGGTCTGCACACACCTGCAGAGCAAGAACTCCGGAGGAGAAGCCAGGCCTGAGCAGGGGCAGTTTCCCCTCTGGCCAGAACCTCACGCCATCAACCCAGCTGCCCACAAGGCTGCTGCCCAAACATCCCAGGCCTACAGCTGTGAGCCCACCCTGGGCTCAGCCAGAAGAGGGAGCAGTGACTAGTCAGCCCTGGGCCCCTTCAAGGAGTCAATGACCCCCTCCCTTCCTCCCTCATGCATACATCCCTTCATTCATTCATCCATTCATCCATTCATTGCTCCTTCTGTAAACAGGCCTGGCACCTGCCCTGTGCCTAGATATGAATGCAGTATCACTGTGTCCCTTTCAGGGGCTCACAGCGGGTGGGTAAGCACACCCACAAATTCATGACTCCAGAGGGGACAGGAGGCCCAACAGAATGATCACATGGGAAGCCCAGAAGGACCCCAGCTCTGCCTGGGGCTACAGGGAGAAGCCCCCCAGACTGGTGTCTGGAGGCCCACCCTGGACGGACACAGAGGCTTTCCTGATGGGCAAAGAAGGAGAAGGAGGCCTCCCTCTGGTTTGTGAAGGAGACGGTGTCACGGGGAGCTGAGGTGAGATCCTGGGTTTTGTCCTCCAGGTGACAGACACGGTGGGGGGGGGGCGGTGAGGACAGGCTCAGCTTTATCCAACTTGGTGGAAAATTGAAAGTGTGTTCCAGGAGAAGGACAAGAAAGTCTGATACAGTCATCTGGAGGCTGCACAGCTCTGAGCTACGGGACAGGCGGCCCATCCTCTCTCCCACATCTCCCGGCTCCTGCTCCATCTGCCCCCAATGCCCAGCGCCTCCGTGGCCAAGCCTGGTGTCCTTCAAGCAGTGGCTGCCAACTCTAAAGGAACTTCACCCTGCTGCCGGGCAGGGCAAGCCCCACCCAAGGCAGCGTCAGCCACCCAGAGTCCAGGTCCAGCCCTCGCCACCCTTATCCCAGAATCAGGACTGATGCAGACCCCTGGCTCCTGGGGCCCCCATATGGAGCCCCTGCTCCCAGGAAAGCAGTGAGGGAGGATGGAGAGGGAGGGGCTGCGAGGGAGGGGAGCGCCTGGCCGTCCCCGGAGAGTACAGCTAACCCACAGCTCATAATCCTGTTAAAAAATTAATCCTCATTTAGCTGGGCGGCAAGGCAGCCGCTGAGATAAAGACCCTGAGAAGCAATAAAAGGCAACAGTGATTGATAAAGCAGCGAGGCCACTCCTAAAACCTGCTGCAGTGAAGGTCAGGCAGGTCCCAGCAGGCAGAGAGTAGTCACCAGGTGCTGGGGTTGGGGGAGCATTGCCTCACAAGCCCCAGCTCCTGCAGAGGTGACCGCTTTGGGCAACAGCAGCTGAGGCTGATGGCGGAGAGAGGGAGACAGAGGGGAGGCTGCTTGCTCAGCTCCTCCCTGCTCGGCCTCCCTGGGTGGCCGAGGCCCTTCGGTCCTTGTCTATCTCCTAACCTCACAGCCATAAAAGACACAGCCCTCCTGGGGCCCAGCCGGTCCCAGAGCTACCTGATGAGCCCAGCCTGTCTCCTGTGGCTCCTGGTGGCCCCTGCTGTCTCCCACAGGCTTGTCCCAGGGATAGGACAATGAAGAGCCCACCCCAGCCCCATGCCAGGGGTCTCACCTGGAATCCTCCCAGACAGCAGGTGTGGTCGCCACTGCATCTGGCGTCTGCCTGCTGGGGAGACTCATTGCCATGTCCCCACATCCAGCCCCTCCTCATAGTGCATTCCATTCCAGCCTAACAGCATAAACAGCCCCATCCTCCTTCAGGGGCCCCAAAAGCCAGTAATGGACCCCACAAAAGGGCACTGAACTGGGAGGCAGGAGAGACTCACTGAGACCCAACGTTGTCACCACCAGTCACGGTGGAAAATCAGGGGAGGGCGCTCAATGCTCCACCACTCCTCCAACAGAGGCGACCACCCACAGGGGTCAGGGCCCAGCTTCTGAGCCCACACCCTCACCACGGCATCCAGGGCTCCCTGGAAGCACTGGGCTGCACCCCGGCCAGAGGAGTAAAAGAGTGATTCCCAATGTGGTCTCACTCCAACTGCAGCCTGGAGACTACTCAGAAGCAAGGAGGTGTGGCAGAAGGCGGCTGCAAGGGTCCTGACCATGCTAATGCCACCCACGGGAGATTCATTTATTCAACACCTACTGCATGCCAGGCATCAGGCCAGGAGCTGGGGTTACCGTGTTGCTCACAGTCTTCTAAGAGACACCTAAACAATGGCAATAGAATTCCTCATATTGTGTTATTAATGAGAACAGGAAGTTAGCGGCAAAGCTGACCTGGTGGAGGACAATGCCTGCCTCATGGCCTGAAGCCACAGCTGAGACACCAGCAGGCCTGGGCAGGCAGCCCCAGGGCCCAAGCTCCCTGCATGGCTCATCTGCATGGGCCTGTGCCAGCATCAAATCCACCCGGGCCCCAGGCCAAGGAGGCCTCTGGGATCAAGTCCTGCTGGGCTCCCAGAGCCCCTAAGCAAGAAAAGCAGTGAATACCCACTTTCCCACGTGTCCATAAGAAGGAGCC